GGGGCCGAGCGGCAGGCCCTGCGGCAGTGCCAGCGTGAGAACCAAGAGCTCAACGCCCACAATCAGGTGAGCCCGGGACCCAGCAGGGGACCCACAGGCGAGGGAGCCCGCCCAGAGCCCAGGCCCCGGGCCGCGCCTGCCGGCCGTCTGGCCTGGCCGCGTCGTGGGGACTCCTGCAGGTGGCCGCGCGAGGCCGTTGTGCTGCACAAGCTGACCATGCAAACTAGGGGTCCCTCTGGTGGCAGCTGTTCTGCCTCACCCTCACTCAGACGCCCCGCCCGGGTGGGTTGACCTGAACCTGCGAGAGTCACCCGGCAGGTCTCCTCAAATGCGCCCGCCCCCCGGGGTGTTGGGACATCTCTGGCTAACCGGGAGGCTTGAGTTGAGCTTAGTTTAGTGGAAGCTTTTCCGCGGCACAGACTAAACAGGCTGCCCAGGACCATCCTGCTCTCCCCCTCGGCACCCCACACGGTCCTCGTGTGAGGCGTCTGCCTGCCACAGCCCGTAGCCTGCCACCCAGACCATGTGTCCTGGGTCCCACAGATCGCCCAGTGGCGGGGGGTGGGTGGCAAACGGAGCAGACCAGGAGACAGATGAATGAAGTCGCCGTAACAGGCCCCCGGGGCCACAGGCTGGCACCACAGCACTGCACGTGTTAGTCACCACGGGGACAGCGTTTCGAGGGCCACACGTCTCAGGAATGGTGGCCTTCCGTGCTGTCCTGACTGTGACGACGTCCCCAAACACCGCACGGCCCCGTGCTCAGACGCCTGTCCCTTCCACGTCGTGGTGAGGTGTGACTTGCTGGAGCGTGTGGCCCCAGGCGGCTCCGTGCAGCGTCACCATGTTCCGTGTTGTCCCCAGGAGCTGAACAACCGCCTGGCTGCAGAGATCACACGGTTACGGACACTGCTGACCGGGGATGGCCACGGGGAGGCCGCCGTGTCACCCCTCACACAGGGCAAGGACGCCTATGAGCTAGAGGTACTGTGGGAGCCTGGCCCTGCTTGACCTGCGCCCCGCGCCCCCAAGGCTGTGCAGAGTGGCCCCTAGCTTACAGTGGGGCTGGAGGGGCCCCACTCCCCAAGCAACAAGGGAAGATGCAGCAAGATCCAGAAATCACCCCCAGGTGTCAGAAGAGACCCGCCAGCTGCCAGGCAGCCTGAGACGGGTGCAGGAGTAAGACCGCCTGCAGGGCAGGGCCACCTAACCCCTGCACTCCACCTGTGTCCCCTTCTCAGTTCCACCCACTGCAAACACCCTGGCCTGACACCCAGTGAGCAGCCACATGAATCTCAGGACCGGGGAGGCGACTTCAGTGTACAGCGCCTGGTTCTGGCATGACGGCTTCCTTTTAGGAAGGCACGGTCACGAGGCTGTGTGTAAAATACCTTATGCTAGTATAAACAGTACTTTACCAAAGGCTGAGTGAGTCCTGCACGTCAGCAGAGCCATGTCCGAGCCTCCCAGGTCCGTCCCAGGCCAGGCCTGGTGCCTGCAGCTACGAAGAACAGCCCTGGGGTAGGGCAGGGAGCAGCAGCAGCTCCCGCTGCCGCCCGCCCTGGGCGTGGCACGGGGCAATAGGCTGCCCTGCAGCAGCTCGGGGGCGTCTGCTCCTCTCAATCCCTCGCCTCCCTCTCGTCCTAGGTCTTGTTGCGGGTCAAGGAGTCGGAGATTCAATATCTGAAGCAGGAGATCAGCTCTCTGAAGGACGAGCTGCAGACGGCATTGCGGGTACGGCAGCACGTGGACGGCACGGGGCGGGACAGGCCACACACAGCCTCTGAGCCTGTGGGCAGCCAGCTCGGGCGGCTCCAGTGCGGTCACTGGGGAGCACGCGGCCATGCCGTTTGATCAGGCCCTTCCGGGGGTTCCTGGGATCAAAGAGGGGGGTCACAGGATCCTGGGTAATGAGTCAGTCCCCTAAAAAAACCAGGATGGGGCCAGCAGATGGTGTAATGGTTACATCACTGGACCCCACGCAGTTGACAGTAGTTCAAGTCTCGGATGAGGCAGCTTAAAATTCACCAGGCGTGTGTGTGTGTGTGTGTGTGTGCATGTGTGTGTGCCCAAGATCCTGAGAGGAGTATGG